CATACACACTGTGAGAACAGAGTCTAGAACAAGATCCCCCCTCATACACATTGTGGGAACAGAGTCTAGAACAAGATCCCCCCTCATACACTGTGGGAACAGAGTCTAGAACAAGATCCCCCCTCATACACACTGTGGGAACAGAGTCTAGAACAAGATCCCCCCTCATACACACTGTGGGAACAGAGTCTAGAACAAGATCCCCCATTAATACACACTGTGGGAACAGAGTCTAGAACAAGATCCCCCCTCATACACATTGTGGGAACAGAGTCTAGTGAAACAGATCCCCCCTCATACACACTGTGGGAACAGAGTCTAGAACAAGATCCTCCCTCATACACAGTGAGAACAGAGCCTAGAACAAGATCCCCCCTCATACACATTGTGGGAACAGGGTCTAGAACAAGATCCCCCCTCATACACATTGTGGGAATAGGTCTAGAACAAGATCCCCCCTCATACACACTATGGGAACAGAGTCTAGAACAAGATCCCCCCTCATACACACTGTGGGAACAGAGTCTAGAACAAGATCCCCCCCATACACACTGTGGGAATAGAGTCTAGAACAAGATCCCCCCTCATACACACTGTGGAAACAGAGTCTAGAACAAGATCCTTCCTCATACACACTGTGGGAACAGGGTCTAGAACAAGATCCTCCCTCATACACAGTGAGAACAGAGTCTAGAACAAGATCCCCCCTCATACACACTGTGGAAACAGTCTAGAACAAGATCCTCCCCATACACAGTGAGAACAGAGCCTAGAACAAGACCCCCCCCCCCCCCTCATACACATTGTGGGAATAGGGTCTAGAACAAGATCCCCCCTCATACACACTGTGGGAACAGAGCCTAGAACTTCATCACATTGCCAAATATTCTATCCCCAACCCCCATCCCAACACTTCAAAGCAGCAAAGTCACCGTCTGGCCAGCGGGCAGAGAAGCCACGTCTTCAATTCATACCATCGATTCTGAGAGCTGGGAGTGGACCTATCAGAAGTCCGCATGAAGAAACAGCTGACCTGACCGTTTACAGCACCACGGGACTAACAGATGTACAGCTGTGATGGATTTTTACACTGGCTGGTCCCAGGGTGAGAGGAGGAAGCATGACATGTAAATGTGATGGATGGTCACACTGGCTGGTCACAGGGTGGAAGGCAGCAGAGGGAGTGTGCTATGTGAATGTGGTGGATTGCTACACTGGCTGGTCAAAGAGTGGAAGGCAGCAAAGGAAATGTGCTGTGCGAATGTGGTGGATTGTCACATTGGCTGGTCGCAGGGTGAGAGACATCAGGAGCGTGCAATATAAACATGATGGATTGTTACATTGGATGGTCACAGAGTGGAAGGCAAGAGGAAGTGTGCTATGCGAATGTGGTGGACTGTAACATTGGCTGGTCAGAGTGGAGGAAGCAAAGGAAGTGTGCTATATGAATGTGCTGGATTGTTACAGTGGCTGATTACAAGGTGGAAGGCAGCAGAGGGAGTGTGCTATGTGAATGTGGTGGATTGTTACATTGGCTGGTCAGAGGGTGGGAGGTAGCAGGAGTGTGCTATGTGAATGTGGTGGAATTTTACACTGGGCCGCTTAAAGAGTGGAAGGCAGCAAAGGACATGTGCTCTGCAAATGTGGTGGATTGTCACATTGGCTGGTCACAAGGTGAAAGACAGCAGATTGAGTGTGCTATGTGAATGTGGTGGACTGTTACTTTGGTTGGTCAAAGGGTGAGATATCAGGAGTGTACAATGTGAATATGATACATTGTTACATTGGCTGGTTACAGAGTGGAAGGCAGCACAGGAAATGTGCTCTGTGAATGTGATGGACTGTAACACTGGCTGTTCGCAGGGTGAGGGGAAGCAGAGGAAGTGTGCTATGTGAATGTGGTGGATTGTTACACAGCTTGGTCACAGAGTGAGAGGAAGCAAAGGAAATGTGCTCTGTGAATGTGATGAACTGTAACTTTGGCTGGTCACAGAGTGAGGGGAAGCAGAGGAAGTGTGGTGGATTGTTGCAATGGCTGGTCATAGGGTGAGAGACATCAGAGGCATTGTGCTATGTAAATGTGATATATTGTTAAATTAAAAATTGGCTGGTCGCTGGGAGGGAGGAGGGCGCTGTGTGAATGTGATAGAATTGTTATACTGGCTGGTCACAGGGTGGAAGCCAGTAAAGGGCAGTGAGCTGTGTGAATGTAATGGATTGTTACCCTGGCTGGTCACAGAGTAACCACTTAGAGATTTTGCCGTGTGAATGTGATGGATTGTTAAACTGGCTGGTCCCAGGGTGGGAAGCAGTAAGCGGGAGGATGCTGTGTGAATGTGATGGATTGTTACCCTGGCTGGTCAAAGAGTTTGAGGAAGCAGATGAGTGAATGGCAGTAATGTGTACACAAAGCCAAGAACATAAAGGCTACGGAACAAGCATCAGACTTTACAAGACTGCTCCCTGGGCCAGTATCGTATTCTGGAAAGCAGGTGACAACTCTAGATGATGCCTGATGGTGCTGATATAAGATGGAAGGTACAGTCTCACCCTGAGGAGTAATACATTCTTGCACTTTCAGATTAGCGTATACAACTGATGCAGTCTGCTTTAAACCAGAGCTTCAGAATGTAAAACGGTTTACAAGCAACTGGCCTACAATGCCACATTCTGAATGTCCCATTTAGCACAGTGACCAGATCAGTCCAGTCTACCAGTCCTGCGGTATTACTATTGGATGGGGTCAATGAGACATCTAAGTTTATGTGATGCTGAACATCATCTGCACTTGGGAGGAGTCTAGTCCTATTCTTGTGAAATTGGTGTTCAGAATCACATATCATGGATGGATCACACAGTCCCCACTTATGCTAGTAGTACTTCGCAAATCAGGCAGCTCTGGGCCCTGCAGATCATCCGTCATTGTCTGAGCTCCAACCCCAAAGCAGACCGTATGTCTTTCTAACCATCGCCATGACCCAGAGCAGCTCTCAGGTTCCAGGCCACTAAGAACGCAGCTGAAGCTTCAACATGCCTTTATAATGACACGGATTATAAAGTCTCCTCTCCAATCATCACACAGGATAATAGATGGCCAATCAGAGGCAATGAAGTTCTCCGATTTCCAAAAAGCTAGACCAGCCTTTCTCAACCCTTTTACACAAAGGACCCTTGAAATCATTTTCTGGTGTTCCGGAACCCCTGCTAAAAATGAGATCTACATCTCACAGTACATTGATGTGTTGGTTAGCAGGAAAGTTGATAGTTACATTTGTAGTCAGTAGGAAGAGTTCCCCTTACTGAAAACATCATTAGTGTTAGTGGCTACTTATCCGAGAGGAATTCCTAGCAACCTCTGGAGAAACCCTCAGGTTTCACACAGCTCTGGTTGGGAGAGGCTGATCTAGACCCAAGAGTCTCCAGACTTTCTAAGCAAAGGGTCAGTTTACAGACCTTCAGGCTTTGGGGGGGCCAGACTGTGCCCATCATTGGTGGGAAAAGTAGTGCCCCATCAATAGTGTCAGTTGGAGAAAGAGTGCTCCAAGGGCCAGATAAAGGCAAGCAAAAGGGCCACATCTGGCCTCAGGACCACAGTTTGGAGACCACTGATCTAGACAGTAAAGCCATTCAAATCCAGTGAATAATGTGATTACTGTCACTCAAAGTGATCTACCAGTGAATGAAGCCAAGAGGTAGGTTAATAATAGTGAAGGGTAACATTAGTGCAGCATTTACCAACATTCAGGAACCTTCACGCACACAATGCTACTCATCAGTCATCTACGAAGCTTTGTGAAGGACTTGGGAACATCCCCTTATTGCCTCAACCAAACGGGCAATAAGAAGTGGCCAGTGATCTACTCACTTTCCAGTTCTGTGGCTTTGCTGCTTTGATGAATGATGTGCTTGGATTATAATGCTACATGGGGGTCAGACGCTCAAGCTGGAGTATCCACCAATACCCAGAGCCATATATAAAGGGAGAGGGATTAAAGCTTGAGAAGATCCTTCAACTTTCCATAGGAGCATTCTGCACACAGAGGAGACCCCGCCAGCAGTGGAACAGTCTCTGCTACTATCAAAGCTCAATTCCGCTAGATTATCAAACGTGAAAGGAAACCGTGACAGGAATTGGGCAGGAAGCGTTCATAAAGATTAAGTAGAATTTTTCCAGCTATGTGATAGAGACCAACTTAAAGGGTTTCCTACCTCCTGCAAAGATATCTTCAGTTCCTAAATGGGCTACTTCAACTACATAAAAATAATCTTAAAAATAAACAAAATCAGATAAAATCCTGGAGGAGAACAGAGAAGAGAAACAGAAACTAGAAATCAAACAGCTTAGACACCCAGAAAACAGGACGTGGACAGGCTGAAGTGGTAGTAAATGTCCAGGTGTCCATGGTGTATACCCAAGGCTGAAAGTGGAGCTCATCTCTAATCTACACATGCAAACTACAAAAATTAAAAGCAAACTAATTAAAACAAACAACAAGGATCCTGCACAACTATCCACCCTCCCCTGCCAAGGGGAATGGCAGCCATGTCTACTGGAGGGGGAAGAGTTGAACTCTCCAACCTCACCTGCCATGCCTACTGGAGGGGGAAGAGTTGGACTCTCCACCCTCCCCTGCCAATGAGCGGCAGCCATGCAGCCACCCTGTCTGCCACTGGAGGGGGAAGAGTTGAGCTCTCCACCCTCATCTGCCATGTCAACTGGAGGGGGAAGAGTTGAGCTCTCCACCCTCATCTGCCATGTCTACTGGAGGGGGAAGAGTTGAGCTCTCCACCCTCATCTGCCATGTCTACTGGAGGGGGAAGAGTTGGGCTCTCTACCCTCCCCTGCCAATGAACGGCAGCCATGTCTACTGGAGGGGGAAGAGTTGGGCTCTCCACCCTCACCTGCCAATTAGCGGCAGCCATGTCTACTGGAGGAGGAAGAGTTGGGCTGGAGTCAGGGAACTAGATGAGGTAAGTATGGTTCTGCAGATGACCACCCTTCACTTCTGAATCTGGAATATAAAGAGTCGTAGATTGATGTTCTTTGCAGCCAGAAGTTTGTTACATTCCACAGAGTCTATGATGGGTAGGGGCACGTACTCAGTCTCATTATTCTCGTTGGTGAAGACAAAGTGGTAGATGACTGGGTGAATTTTGACATCGTCGTAGGGACCTTTGAGCAGCAGAAAGGAGCATTCCATAGGAGAATTGACCTTGCTTTTTAGGATGAGTTGGAAGGAGAGGGTTCTCTTGCAAGACAAGTTGGGGTTCCTTTCTGAATCGTTGACGCGAGCCTTCAGAACCCAGGTCTGGTTGAGAACTGTGAAGCGTGGTGTCTCGTAGTACAGACGGGTAATGAAGTCATCTGTTCTGTAGGGTCGAAACTGGACTTCTACGAGAATGGGGAGGAAGGGAAAAAAAAAAAGAAAAAAGAAAATTATTGGGTGAAGAGGTCGTTTCACATTCCCCCAACGACACCACTTTACCTGTTACCGTTGACCGGTCAGTGGCCGCTTCAGCACTGGTTTGCCTCCTAAAGGGATCTTTTATATCTTTTTACCTCTTAAAAAGGGGAAAGGGAGATAAAGGTTGCTCAACACATGCAGTAAATTGCGTGTCAAACAAAAGACGTACTTGGTCCCATACAGACAAGGCCTACGTGACCAATAAATTGTGTTAACCCACACCATTAAATTGACATTTTGCATTCTTCTTACCTTCCTTCTATGTATAATGCTGCCTTTTATTGGTTGTGAGAGAGCACTGAAGACTAAATACCTTGTAATCCTGCCCCAGTCCCCTTCATGTTGCAGGGCTTCCTGTAACCCTCTGACCACTCTATCCATGGATACAGATCCAAGGTAGCGTAGTCAGATTGTGACCTCTCTTCTTTACTTTCACATCACAAGCCATGCGTCAGCATGGCTTCCTGTAGATCCAAAGGCTGTCCCCACCTCTCCGCCCAGCCCTGAAGAGCCTGATTGGCTATAGCCCCTAGCTGAAGTCTAGCTGCCAATCTCAAAAAAGGAATGTCACAGCACTGGGCGGATACTTGAGATTGAGCCATGCCACTGCCCTGCAGACAAACTCGATTGTTGTCATGACTGCTAAATAAACTTTGCTCTTCAGGTACTTGTCAAACGTTAAAGACTAAAATTATTCAATGTGGCTTCAAGACTCTACGACATCATTGCTTTCCCTGATACTCAGTATCAAATGTCTGCTGGAGGTTCCTCAAAGTCCACGAGTTTTAGTCTTTGCCGGAATTCACAGAACTGATCTTGATTGACCATCTCTACAAGCCTAGCGCTAGGAGCAGGAGAGCACATACCATCTCTTACATGGGTTCCTACAATCCGCCTTCAATTTTAATGAAGAAAAATTCACACTCTGTATCGAAAACCAACATTGCAAAAAAGGCAAAAACATCATCGTATTCTTTCAGATTGCATTTTTTTTTAAGAACACACGGAGAGATATCCATTTCAGAGAATAAAAGTTTATTCCAAAATCATACAAAGCTAAAAAAAAAAAATAAAAATAAAAAAACAGGTTCATGATTGATACAATACCGGAACGTTCCCCCAGATTCAGAGAACACATTGCACAATACAAGAAACATCTCACATCATGAGGAACCTTTTAGGACATCCTTTTCCCACTGTTTATATGAAAATCACAACATTTTTTGGTGCCGTGACCCGGGCATGAAGTTAACAAAAGCAATCAACACATGGCTGAAGAAATGTTTATTTCAGACAGGAAGAGACCAATGTGCTTCCGCTATATACAAAACTCTCACCTCCTTTATACGACTATTAAAATAAACAAAAGTCCATCCTGATGGAGGAGAAGGCAACATTAATAAATGTCATTCACAATGAGAAAACAACACGGTGAACACACGATCAATTTTCAAGGTCATGTACTTACCTGGTCAGGGATACGACTTCTCATCGCACCCTTCCTCAACCCCCCTCCCGATCACCAGAATGGAAAAAAAAAAAAAAACAAAAACCCGAGAGCCGTCACTAAACGTTTTACCCAGACAGAACAGGGCTGTAAATAGTTTAGAGAGGAAGAAAGAGAAAATGGCGGGAGAGCTAGAAGAGAGAAAGGAAAGAAGAACAAAGGCGGCTTGTGGGCTCCCGCTAGGACCGCCATCTTCTGCCTTTGTAGGAGTTCTGTACGTACCCGAGATTCACACACATCCAGGCGCTTTAACCGCTTCCGGAGCACAAAGTAAGATTGGTGACTTACCTTCCACCAGAAAGCTGAGGGACATCGGTAATCCAAGGGAGGGGGGGGGAAGGGAAGGCTTTCCCTGCATAAGTGGGGCCCGAGTGCATCTTCATCTTCTTCTGAAACCTGCTTCTCAACATCAAAGAAAGACATATACGGACGCACGCGGCTCCTCCCACCAGGAAGAGGAACGGGCAAGTGCGTATGGAGTCACGTGCCATCAAGGAGACCGATCAGAGGCAGGTCAGTTCATAAAGATCAGCAGCTAATTCGCAGTGACAGCTGCCCCTCTTCATGTCCTTGGTGACACTTACCCTACAGAAACACATGATTGGTTGGGGGATGGGGGGGGGAGATGGCTGGACAACCCACATGGTAACCCCCGCTCTTCAGATTCTCAGCTGCAGAATGACAACTACATCCTCTACCGACACCTACAAAGCAAAAGAGTGACATGCACAAAGAACGGCTGTGTATCGTCTCTCCACCGACAGCCCCCAACAGACACTAGCAACTCTCACAGGCCAATGGAGCGGCCGGGTCGGCCCTTACCTGTGTAACCGATCTTCTCGAAGCTCAGCAGGCCAAAGATGCTGTTGTACAATTGCATCTCCTTCTTGTGGCTTTGGTCCATCTCGTCCAGGATCTCCATCAGCTCGTTACCGGTTTTGGAGGGGTGGGAACACTCGGACTCGTGCACGGTCAGCTCGTGGAAGGGACCCTGCCAGGGCAGCCAATCCTCTTGTATTTACATTGCGTTACTCTGCGGGCGAGCAAATGGACAGCCGGGAAAGTTGGTTACGGAGATAATGAGCAGCAGATGATTATATAGACTACTAATAATACAAGTGGACCTAAAGCTGAACTCCGGGAGATGGAAACCTTCTCTACATCCATCGGTCATGTGACTTCTTCTGGAATCTCGGAGATCTCTGGGTATTTCTTCCAGATCTGAGCCATCATCCAGGGGGAGACTTCCTGGAATAAAGACCGCCCACTGCTGCTCTCTCTTTGTGCAGGGGGACTGGTCTAGTCTCCGCCCCTCCTGTCATTTTCTGTAGCGGGTGGAGTCTGCTAGACCCCTCCCACAGCTCTGCTCTCTCCTTGTGCAGAGGGACCGGTCTCGTCTCCGCCCCCTCCTGTAGTTATTTTGTAGTGGGGGGGTCTGGTAGACCTCTCCCACAGCTCTGCTCTCTCCTTGTGCAGAGGGACCGATCTTGTCTCCGCCCCCCCCTGTAGTTATTTTGTAGTGGGTGGGGTCTGCTAGACCCCTCCCACAGCTCTGCTCTCTCCTTGTGCAGAGGGGCGGTCTTGTCTCTGCCCCCTCCTGTAGTTATTTTGTAGTGGGTGGGGTCCAGTAGACCCCTCCCACAGCTCTGCTCTCTCTCCTTGTGCAGAGGGACCGATCTTGTCTCCGCCCCCTCCTGTAGTTCTTTTGTAGTGGGTGGGGTCCGGTAGACCCCTCCCACAGCTCTGCTCTCTCCTTGTGCAGAGGGACCGGTCTGGTCTCCGCCCCTCCTGTAGTTATTTTGTAGTGGGTGGGGTCCAGTAGACCCCTCCCACAGCTCTGCTCTCTCTCCTTGTGCAGAGGGACCAGTCTTGTCTCTGCCCCCTCCTGTATTTATTTTGTAGTGGGTGGGGTCTGGTAGACCCTTCCCACAGCTCTGCTCTCTCTCCTTGTGCAGAGAGCAGTCTTGTCTCCGCCCCCTCCTGTGATTTTTCTGAAGAGGGTGGGGTCTGCTAAACCCCTCCCACAACTATGCTCTCTGTCCTTGTGCAGGGTGACTGGTCTTGTTGCTGCCCCCTCCTGTCATTTTCTGTAGTGGGTGGAGTCTGATAGACCCCTCCCACAGATCTACTCTCTTTGTGCAGGGTGACTGGTGTGGTCTCCGCCCCTCCTGTAGTTTTCTGCAATGGGTGGAGTCAGATAGGCCCTTCCCACAGCTGATCTCTCTGCTTGTGCTGGGTGACTCGTCTTGTCCCCCTCCCCCACACACTTTCCTGCAGGCAGCCTGTAGTGCAGTGGGTGGAGCTTGCTGGGCCCTTCCCACAGCTATGCTCTCTCCTTGTGCAGGGGACTGGACATGTCTCCGTCCCCCCCTTGTAGTCTTCCACAGACAGAATGTAGTGGGTGGAGCCTGCCAGGCCCCTCCCACAGCTCTGCTCAGGCTATGTACAGCATGGTAATGATGTGACTGCTACTTTTACATGTAATATCTGGATTTTCAAAAGTATTTTGTGCATACAAATTGAAGTGGCTATTGATGAATCTAAGTTTTGTTCCCGGAGTTCAGCACTAAGTCCAAAAACAAAAACATTTTATGCCCTTCATGGAATAAAGGTCAATGAATATCTGCCATTCTGGCATCATCCTGTATTTCGGGATCTCGAGGCTGGTCATTGGATAACAAGGGTCTGATTTTTTTTATATAACCGAAATTCTATAAAGTTCATCTGTTTATGAGGGTTCCCGGGACCGATACTCTGTGCTGAAGACACACAATAAATATTCTCCCCTTTGAGAGCCAGGAGATACCACTTTGCACAGCTGCTAGCTCACAATCCCGACCAGCCAATCACAGTGCCTCCTGATCATGTGACCACTATGTTGGTTCTGACAGAGATCCCATGCAAGGTGACATCAACTGAAGGACACAGAGATTCAATCTGGTTATCCTGCCACCTACAGGAGGATTTGACCCGGGCAAAACCAGAAAATGGGATTTTTGTACTCACCTTCTGTAAAACCTTTTCTCTTAGTTCATTGAAGGACACAGCCATAATTCATGACGCATAGGTTTGATGTCGCCACCCACAGGAGCAAGATGCTAGGTGCGCCTAAACTAAAAGCACACCCAGGGGGTAGCTAGTAGTCAGCAGTACCAGCATTAGAGGCAGTACCAGCATTAGAGGCAGTACCTGGACAGGGTCATCCAGCTCCCAGGGCAAGGATCCAGAATTGCACCCCCCTCCCCCATTATTAATACATGCTGTAGAATGGGAGTACCACTGCATCTATTCTTTGCCCCCTTTGCTTCACTGTGCCCAGGGCAGTTGCCCCTTCTGCCCACCCCTTGTCTCGGCCCAGAGTATAGGATATACCCAGTGAGACAGCCAAAAGAAGACTGGGCGGGTGCCGTGTCCTTCAATGAACATAAAAAAGATAGGAATCCCATTTTATCTTTTGTTCATTGAAGGACACAGCCATACTTCATGGCAGATGGGAAGTCCAAAGCAATGCCAGAAAGAAGAAGGGTGGGCCCATAAACAGAAAACAACAGCAGAGAAGGGAACAGCAAACCAGCAGAACTCAAACTGCCACTTGAAACTTTCTGAGCAAAACTGGCATCTGCTGAGGCAGCCATGTCAACCTTACTTGGTACTCGGTGAAAAAGGGAACAAATGGCCACCTTGCGAAACTCCAAAAATTGAAAAGAAACCAGCAAAAACTAGGATCTAGAAAGCTGTGAAAACTGAACTCCTTGCTGCAGATGGGGGGTTTGGCCACCTCCAGGCAGCTTCCCCATGGGTGTGTTTCTAGTTTAGTTGCACCTGGCGTCCTGCTCCTGTTGGTGGCTATATCAAACCCATCTGTCACGAACTATGGCTGCATCCTTCAATGAATGAAAAGAAAAACCCAGCATGCCCCAGTTTTGTAGTAAAGCAGTACTAAGGGCAAAAACTAAAACACAAAGGATTGGAACTTGTGTCCCTCAAGGGAATCCAAGAAAAATGATTTACGGCAGGTAAGGAAAGCCCATTTTCTTTCTCGTCTGCTGAGGGATACAGGAATTCAGATACAGTCTGGACCTCCAAAAACCAGCTGAGGGATGAGCAACACAGAAAAGAAAAACCACAGGCCTCACTAGGGGAGCTGGGGGCAACCTGCAGCCTAGGAGCTGTCTGAAGGACCATCACCCAAACCTGGATGGATGAGGTGGAACCCCTACCAGACAGAAAAAGCTAAAAACATGACTAGGGGGAGAGCATGGAAGATCAATCTGATGCTCAAGGCCAAAATGGAGAAAGTCATTATAAGAGAGAGATGACTATATTCAGAAGGAACACTGAACCCAAGTCAGTAAAAAGAAACTGTTTAATTAGAACCCACCAAAAAGAGGTAGACCATTAACCTACCAATAACAACTTGATATGGTCAACAGAACAAAACATTAGCGATAATCCCCAGGAAGAACAGGTTCAAAAAGGAAACAAACACAAAAGACAGGTCTAGGTAAAAAGACCAGCTAGTCTACGTGGGAAGGCCACAGGCCCGTTATCCCGCCTCTTAGGGTCAAGGCAATGAAGGTAACTAAGTGACTAAGGTAAGTTGCCTAGCCACATAACCAAGCTTGCTAAGCGAGGTATACTAGAGAATGCACAGTATAGTACAAGGTAAAGATGAGTTAGTTTGTGAGGAGACCTCTGACCTCACTAGAGAACTTAAGAATTTAATCTCACAAAATCAACAAAAAAAACCGGAAGAAAGAGGGCACCAGAAGGCACAAGGGTCACCACGAAATCAAAAAAAAAAACACAAAAAAACAACAACATAGGCTTCAGAGAGGTGAGACGTGGACTGCCTAGGGACAGAGAGGATGAAAGGAAAGCTAAACATTCTAAGATACCCCTAGAAAACCCTAGGGCCTGCAGAAAAAAAAAAGTGCCAGGCCCTGCCTACCCCTTAAACACAGACATGATTTTCAAAAGCTCCTGATCCCTCAGGCCCAATGAAGAATCAACGGTCTTGGAGTGAGGAACAGAAATCTTGAAGTGCTTAGAGCATTGGTCTGAATAAGGGCAAGGGCAAGACCAAGGGAGGTATCTCATGGACTTCCACTAGGAGGCTGAACAGCCAGGAAGGAAGGACCAATCCCCTTTTTGAAGAGGCCCCACAAAATCATCTGGACACACTCTGACCATCAGCATAGGGTACCTTAGTAGAAAAAAACGTAGTCCAGGTGGGGTTCCCCAAAGTGAAGGGTAAATATAACCAAGAGATCACATGGTACCCCGGCAATGGAGTTACTCCTGCAAGTGGAATACTCCAGGAATGGTATGGGGGAGGAAAGAGACTCTCCTAGCCATGTGAAGAGGACAAGGGATTAAAGGCAGGGACAACCTGATTCACAGAAACAGGATCACAGGCCTGCTCGAACCTGCAACCACAGAGGAGGCAGCTGCAGAAAGCCAGGACAAAGCCAGAGAGGTAGGAACCATACTGATGGGGGGGGGTTTGCGCCCAAACCCTAACATTCCCTCAATGGAGTGAGAATGGGTGGACTCCCTGCCTGACAAGGGAGCAAAAGCACACCAGATCTAGGCCTTTTCTGGGATAGCTTAGGCTGGATCATTCCACCCTCTGGTCGACTTGTAGGCTAGGGAGCCCCTCGGGAGAGAGAGGGAGGAACGTGCGGGGTACAATGTACCTTGGCAGCCATGAAAGTCTTAAGAACAAAGGGTCTTCCCGAGGAAGCCCAAATGGAGCACCGATCCAGTACCTGAAATATCAAAAGGGCTGGGGTAAGGGGACCCAAGGAGTGAAAAACCCAGACAGACTGGGGAAGGAGCAATTGAAGGGGCAGCAAAAGCAAGGGATTAGCTTGAGGGCACTGGAATCCCGGAGAGGGAGGGAGGTCACTCAAGGACCCAGCCAGGATGCACAATCAGATTGAAGATGTGGGGGGGGGGGGGGTACACCTTCATAAAGAGGGATTAGCAGACTGCTGAATTCTCAGGGGGCCTGAGTACACTTACTGCAGAGCTAGATTTAGGAAAAAGGAGATATTCAACCAACCTTCCTTCTAGACCTTCGGCAATGTGGCTGGAGCACATTCTGGCCTTCCATGACATTGGTCAAAGTCTGGCCTTCAATAATATGGCACTGATCACTGTGAAGCACAGAACCGAAGAGACGATATCCCTCAAAGGCCAACCAAGTCAGATGCTTTGGATATGTCACTGGTATCCCAGCATTGTAACCAGAGAGCCCTGTGCATCTGTATGGACATCAGGCCTATGAGGAATAGGAGTTTAGGGGCTTATAATAAAACTTCACAACTGAAGCGCAAGCCTCCAGAAATTTTTTCCATGTGCCCTAATAAACAAGAGCCCACTCCAACTGAGGAGAGACCCCTTTGGAGGGAATTAACCCACCGACACTGGTCACTGCCGGCACAGAGCGCGGAGGGCATCACAAAACTAGCACAAACTGGGATTTGAGGAAGGATTCTACATTTCTAACACCTTTCAGTAGAATATGTAAAGGTAAGCACACCTATCTGACTGGCGGTGCTCGTATTTAGGTGGTAAACTGGTTGAACCTCAATGGAAAATAGTCCACCATTTTACCTGGGAACACTCCCAGCACACTTTTGGGTGGGGTCCAGAACCCCTCAGTGTGTCTCCTGTTTATAAAGAGCAAGGGTCTCCAAACATTCTAAGCAAAGGGTCAGTTTACTATCCTTCAGGCTTTAGAGGGCTGGACTCTGGCCAGTGGGAGAGTAGAAAATGTCCCAGCATCATGGCTCTATCTTTGGTTGTAATGGGAGGAATAGTGCCCCCGTTGTTGATATTAATAACTGCCCCAGGCTACCTCACCGACCTGATACCCCAAATACCACCCTACCCGTAATCTTCGCAAGACTTCCTACTCTCTAGCTCCCTGGTCTCCACCTCCCACGCCCGACTACAGGACTTCTCCAGAGCTTCCCCCCATCCTCTGGAACTCACTACCCCAATCCATCAGATTGTCCCCTACCCTCCTCACCTTTAGGCGCACCCTGAAAACCCATCTCTTCAGGGAAGCCTACCCCACCCTCACAACAACAGCCGATCCCCTCCACTCCTCACTTCATTCCATCCCCCACAGCCATCTCCTCCTGTACCCACCATCCCCTCCCTCCTAGACTGTAAGCTCGAAAGGGCAGGGACCTCGAACCCTCATGTATTGTGTATTGTTTTGCTACTGTATTGTCTCATGTTCTGTCCCCCATTCTAATGTACAGCGCTGAGCAAACCCTTTGGCGCTATATATAAATACGTCTCTATAACAATAATAAGAATAGTGCCCCATCGATGGTGTCAGTAGGGGGAATGGTGCTCCATCACTGGTGTCAGTTGATGGAATAGTGCTCCAAGGGCCCAGATAAAGGCAAGCAAAGGGCCACACCCAGCCATCCTGGCCGCAGTTTGGAAGCCACTGATATAGAGGAATGCCACAATTAGTAGATGTAATGCGAAAGTCTTTGCAGCTGTGGAAGCTCCAATAGACCCAAGGCTAGAGACAGCATGCTGATCAGGAAGAACCCATCAATAAGATTCGACATGACCTGTAAACCTGGAGTGACGGCAAGTGACTGTGGTGCCCCGAAAACAGTCTCCTCAGAGACAAAATTGTAGGGAAACTGAATCTGAGTGAGAGACACTGGTTGCTTTGGAGGAAAACTAGATAGATGCCTTCAGAACCACTAGGGAAAGTGGGCTAGGGTCACCTGTAGAATGTCCCGTGTGTTTCTGAGCAGACACGTTTTGACCGTGTAACAGCAATGACAGCAGGCCCAAAGTGAAAGGCAAGGTCTCAGTTATCTCAAACCCAAGGCAGCTGGTGCTGATGAGGTCAGGTGGCTGGAAAGTGGGCAATGGTAATGGGCAGGCAGCATCAGGATGGTACTTCCTCTTTCAGGGAAAGAGTGTGTGGAGCGTGTGTGAACCTCCACCAGCAGATGACCTTAGCAATAACCCTTTCTGCTCTCAAATTGGTGGTAGTGGGAAATTTGAAGCGACACCCAATGGTGCAGACAGGGAGATAGCTCCAGATGCTCCGAAGACAGGGTCACACTCGGGGGCTCCACCTCACCAACAGACCCAAGGCTGGAACGTGCCACAATGCAGAGCCTGGTGTCCGAAAGGCCACATTCCAGGCAGGCCCCACTCATCTAGTCTAGCGGGGGGGGGGGGGGTGGGGGGGGGGGGGGTGGATAAAGCCAGGCTGAGATTGAAAATGCCGATCCAAAAAAAAAAAAAGGAGAAAACAGAAGATTTCTGGGTAGAGGAGGGTCATACTGTGGACTGTATTAAGGTTCTTCTGTTGGCCGGTGTCCCAAGCTTCAGCAGACGGCAGTATAACCCAACTGTATCTGAATTCCTGCCTCTCTCAATCGGCAAAAAATAAAGTTTTGCACATTTGCCAACATATTAAGAGAACAGAGTTTTCTATGAACCACTTGAGGACCCAGATTTTTCTGACACTTTTTAGTTTACATGTAAAAATCAGTATTTTTGCTAGAAAAATTACTTAGAACCACCCAAATATTCTATATTTTTTTTTAAACTAGAGGCCCTAGAGATTAAAATGGCGGGTGTTGCAATTTTTTTGTCACACGGTATTTGCGCAGCAGTTTTTCGTACACAATTTAAAAAAAAAAAAATACCCTTTAACCACTTCAAGTACGGACACTTTCCCCCCCCTTCCAGTCCGGACACTTTCCCCCCCTTCCAGTCCAGACACTTTCCCCCCCTTCCAGTCCGGACGCTCCCCCCCCTTCCAGTCCGGACCTTTCCCCCCCCTTCCAGTCCGGACGCTTTCCCCCCCCTTCCAGTCCGGACACTTTCCCCCCCTTTCCCCAGTCCGGACACTTTCCCCCCCTTCCAGTCCGGACACTTTCCCCCCCCTTCCAGTCCGGACACTTTTCCCCTTCCTGTCCGGACACTTTCCCCCCCCTTCCAGTCCGGACGCTTTTCCCCCCCCCTTCCTGTCCGGACGCTTTTCCCCCCCTTCCAGTCCGGACACTTTCTTCCCCCCCCCCCACTTTTCCCCCCCTTCCAGTCCGGACGCTTTCCCCCCCTTCCAGTCCGGACACTTTCCCCCCCTTCCAGTCCGGACACTTTCCCCCCCTTTCCAGTCCGGACACTTTTCCCCCCCTTCCAGTCCGGACACATTCCCACCCCTTCCAGTCCGGACACTTTCACCCCCTTCCAGTCCGGACACTTTCACCCCCTTCCAGTCCGGACACTTTCACCCCCTTCCAGTCCGGACACTTTCCCCCCTTCCAGTCCGGACACTTTCCCCCCCCCCTTTCCAGTCCGGACACTTTCCCCCCCTTCCAGTCCAGGCCAATTTTCAGCTATCACACTTTGAATGACAATTGCGCGGTCATGCAACACTGTACCCATATGAATTTTTTAGCATTTCTTTGAGACAGATAAAGCTTTATTTTGGGTGGGATTTATTCACCGCTGGGACTTTTTTTTTTGCTATGTAAATGAAAAAGTCTAAAAATTTGAAAAAAAAGTGTTTTCTTATAAAATTTTGCAAATAAATAATATTTCATCATAAATCTTGGCCAAAATGTATTCCGTTATCTTTTTAGTAAAAAAAAAAAATAACCCAAATTAATTTATAACCAAAAAATATTATAATTTTTCTAATTTTTTTTTAAATTTTTATATTATTATTTATGTTTTTTTTCTACACACTGTCACCCTAGCATTGAGGGTCACCATGGTGACACTGTACTACTTGTGGGGGGTAATGATCTTTTTTTTTTTTTTTTTTTTTTTTTTTTTTTTACACTGATTGCTTTTACAGCCTATATGGGTGTAAAAGCAAATTTGGCCTAAATTTAGCACTTCCGCCTGGCAGTACTCGGGTCATTGGTTCGAATCCCAGCCATGACACTTTCTGCCTGGAGTTTGCATGTTCTCCTTGTGCCTGCGTGGGTTTCCTCCGGGTACTCCAGTTTCCTTCCACACTCCAAAGACATGCTGGTAGGTTAATTGGATCCTGTCTAAATTGGCCCTTGTATATGACCTTAGATTGTACGCCCCTTGAGGGTCAGGGACTGATGTGAATGTACAATATATATGTAAAGCGCTGCGTAAATTGATGGCGCTATATAAGTACCTGTAATAAATAAAATAAATAAATACATTTCTCCTCCTCTCTGGTTGCATTCTTGCAGCCATTGAGAACTACTGTGTGAGCTGTGATTGGTCACAGCTTGTCACATGGTACAAAGGCTGTAGTGAATGGCCCTGTACCATGTGATCTCTGTGATCATTCAGAGATTTAACACGTAGCAAGCAATGTCAGAAGTGACATCTTGCTTACTACTCTTCATGTGATCACTGATTGGCCAATCAGTGATCACATGATCGGGACCTCACACAGAGGTCCCGTACGACGATCGGTGTTCCACTGTGTCCGGAGGACACAGCGGGCATCGGATCGCAGGGTGTGCTGCGCGCTCCCAGGGAGTGCGCACAAGCAGGGGGCGGGGAGGCCATTTATACAATGCCACCCGACCCTGCACTGCCACCGTCTGGCCGTTTATATGCATGGGCCGGATGGGAGGTGGTTGATGAACAAAAACACAATAAAATACCCAATTGTTTGGTAAAATATAAAAAGATGATGTTACGCCAAGTAATAAATACCAAACATGCAAGGCTTTACAAATTGCCGTGTTAAGGTGACACACGACGTACAATATTTTATCTATAGGCGACGATTCAAAAGCCTTTCCAAGTTACCACTTTAGATTTACACAGGTGCCAGAATTATTGCTCTCAATCGGACATTCGCGTTGATACCTCACACATGTTGGTGCGATAGCTTTTTACGCATCAACACATCCATCCGCCTTTGCGAACGAGCAGAAGGGGACAGGGGCACTTGCAAAAAAATGTTTTGATGGGTTTTTTTTGTTTGTTTTTTTTTTTTTTTTGCACTGTATCTTTAATTTTTTTTTTTTTTTAAAAATCAATACCATAGGTCCGTGACAGGTCCTCTTTACTGACTTTATTTACTCTCTTCAGCCCTTTAAAGCAGAGCTCCAGTCAAAATAAAAAAAATAAAAAAATCAGCAGCTAAAAAAAACTGTAGCTGCTGACTTTTAAAAAAACAGCCACTTAGCTGCCCCTCGATCCAGCGGCGTCCTCGCCTGCCCCTCGATCCAGCGGCGTCCTCGCCTGCCCCTCGATCCAGCGGCGTCCTCGCCTGCCCCTCGATCCAGCGGCGTCCTCGCCTGCCCCTCGATCCAGCGGCGTCCTCGCCTGCCCCTCGATCCAGCGGCGTCCTCGCCTGCCCCTCGATCCAGCGGCGTCCTCGCCTGCCCCTCGATCCAGCGGCGTCCTCGCCTGCCCCTCGATCCAGCGGCGTCCTCGCCTGCCCCTCGATCCAGCGGCGTCCTCGCCTGCCCCTCGATCCATCGGCGTCCTCGCCTGCCCCTCGATCCATCGGCAGTCTCCTCGCCTGCCCCTCGATCCATCGGCGTCCTCGCCTGCCCTTCGATCCAGCAATGTCCTCGCCTGCCCCTCGATCCAGCGGCGTCCTCGCCTGCCCCTCGATCCAGCGGCGTCCTCGCCTGCCCCTCGATCCAGCGGAGCGTCCCTCACGGCCTGCCCCTCGATCCAGCGGCGTCCTCGCCTGCCCTCGATCCAACGGCGTCCTCGCCTGCCCCTCGATCCAGCGGCGTCCTCACCTGCCCCTCGATCCAGCGGCGTCCTCGCCTGCCCCTCGATCCAACGGCGTCCTCGACGCCCCTCGATCCAGCGGCTGTCCTCGCCTGCCCCTCGATCCAGCGGCGTCCTCGCCTGCCCCTCGATCCAGCGGCGTCCTCGCCTGCCCCTCGATCCAGCGCGTCCTCGCACCTGCCCTCGATTCCAGCGGCGTCCTCAGCCTGCCCCTCGATCCAGCGGCGTCCTCGCCTGCCCCTCGATCCAGCGGCGTCCTCGCCTGCCCCTCGATCCAGCGATGTCCTCGCCTGCCCCTCGATCCAGCGGCGTCCTCGCCTGCCCCTCGATCCAGCGATGTCCTCGCCTGCCCCTCGATCCAGCGGCGTCCTCGCCTGCCCCTCGATCCAGCGGCGTCCTCGCCTGCCCCTCGATCCAGCGGCGTCCTCGCCTGCCCCTCGATCCAGCGGCGTCCTCGCCTGCCCCTCGATCCAGCGGCGTCCTCAGCCTGCCCTCGATCCAGCGGCGTCCTCGCACCTGCCCCTCGATCCAGCGGCGTCCTCGCCTGCCCCTCGATCCAGCGGCGTCCTCACCTGCCCCTCGATCCAGCGATGTCCTCACCTGCCCTAGATCCAGCGGTCTCACCGCAGCCGGTTTCACTGGCCGTCATCTCTCCCCGGCATCTTAAGTGTGGGCACCCGGCTGTGACAGCTTATGGCTTCATGGGCGAGTAGCACTGCGCCTTGTGAATGGTCCCGTAGTCTTCTGGGACCTGTCACGTGTTCCAGAGGGCTACAGGCAAGGAAACTGGTAGCCCTTCAGCTCTTGCCAAGTTCCATGAGGCATTGCAAGATTGACAGTTACAAGCATGACTCTTACAGGCAGAGGCATGATGGGACTTGTCAACCATGGTGACACTACACTGCTAGGGTGACAGTATGTGTAAAAAAAAAAAAAAACAAAAATAATATAATATAAATATATAATAATAATATAAAAAAAAAAATGTAAAAAAAAAATGTTTAAAAATGATAATTTTTCGTTATAAACTAATTTTTTTTTTTTTTTTTTTTACTGAAAATAGAACGGAATAAATTTTGGCCAAGATTTATGATGAAATATTACTTATTTGCAAAATTTTATAAGAACAACACTTTTTTTTCAAAATTTTTGGACTTTTTCATTTATATAGCAAAAAAAAAAAAAAAAAAAACCCAGCAGTGAATAAATACCACCAAAATAAAGCTTTATCTGTCTCAAAAAATTGTTAAAAAATTAATATGGGTACAGTGTTGC